GTGAGCTCGACTACTTCAATTGGGACCTTAGCTTCGAAGCCGTACGCGAGGGAGAATGGGCTCTCTCCGGTTGCTCGCCGCTGCGTAGTGCGATAAGCCCATAGGACTCGGTCAAGCTCATCCGCCCAATTTCCTCCGATATCTTCCAATTTCTTTCGGATTCCATCCACTATGGTCCGATTCACATTTTCGACTTGCCCATTGGCCTGTAGGTACGCCACGGATACCTTGGTATGGCGGATATCGTGTCGGCAGCAGAAGTCAGCAAACGCCTGTCAGTCGAACTGTCGCCCATTATCGTTGACAATATGTTCGGGCAAGCCGAAGCGGCAAATCACCTTCTTCCATAGGAAGCGTCGGCATTGGTACTCGGTGATAGTGGCCAACGGTTCAGCCTCAACCCACTTGGTGAAGTAGTCTATAGCTACGACACAAAATTTCAGGCCCCCAGGAGCTGTTGGTAACGGCCCCAACAAGTCGATTCCCCACTTAGCAAATGGAATAGCCGTGGTGACCGGCGTGTAGAAGGTAGCCGGCCGAGTGTCCTTTCTGGCGAACGCATGACAAACGCCACACTTGGATATCCATTCAATGCAGTCTCGCATCATGGTCGGCCAATAATACCCTTGGACGACCAACTTTCGGGCGAGCGTGTGGGCGCCCTGGTGTGCGGCGCATATGCCTCTATGAGCCTCGTCCATTATTTTTTCGGCCTCGGGCCTGAGCAAGCATTTCAACAGAGGACCCCCCGAACAACTATTTGTATAGCTGCCCATCAATGATTTCGAAAGAGGGGGTTTTTCGTCGAACCTTAGCGGCGACTCCCGGATCTTCCGGCAATTCGCCTGTTTCCTTGAATCGCCGGATGTCCTCTATCCAGAACATCTCGGGGTTCTTCTCTCGGTTCCATTCCTCGCCGGTCACCTGCTGGACTTCTACTATTGTTTCCTCGATACTTGGTCGCTCTAACTCCTCCTTTTGGCAGATCTTCACAAGATGATCCGGTACTCCCTCCAAGGCAATTTTAGACAATATGTCGGCTTCCACGTTGTCTGCCCGTGAGATGTATTCTATTTTGTAAGCTTCGAATTTCTTTAACATCTCGACCGCTCGCTCTTTATATAAAGTCATCCGTGTATTCTTAGCCTCACATGTGCCTGAGATTTGCCCGACTACCAATCTGGAGTCGGTCTTGATTCTCAATCGCTCCACTCCTAAGGCCTTGGCGAGGCGAAGACCATTTAGCACAACTTCATATTCGGCCTCATTGTTAGATGTCGGAAACAAGTAGCTTAAGGCATAGTATAGCCGGAACCCCTCCGGGGAAATGAGCATAACTCCGCCCCCGCAGTATTGTCGACTCGACGCTTCGTTCGCATGCATTTCCCACCACTCGCCTAAACTGTCTTTCGTGGTGTGTTCCTTTTCTTCTTCGCTCGCCGTGCACTCGACCAAGAAGTCGGCCAAGGCTTGACCTTTTATGAAGGGCCGGGGCTGGTACTCAATCCCATACTGGGTTAGTTCCATGGCCCATTTCACTAGTCGGCCGGACGACGAGGGGTTTCGCAGGACGCTCCCAAGCGGTTGGTCAATCAGCACTCGGACGGTGTGGGCTTGGAAGTGAGGTGCTATCTTTCGCACGGTGATCACCAACGCGTATACAATCTTCTCCAGGGCGGCATACCGCGACTCAGCGGCCTTCAGGGAGCGGCTTACGTAATAAACCGGGTGCTGGACGCGCTCTTCTTCTCGGACTAGCACCGAACTCACCGCCTTAGAGGAGGCGGCTAAGTATAAGAATAAGGGCTCGCCCGCCTAGGGAGTAGACAATACCGGGGGTGTTGAGAGATATTGTTTCAACTCTTCGAACGACTGTTGATACTCGGTGGTCCAAGCAAATCCCTCCTTTTTCTTCATGGCCTCGAAGAAGGGCATCGTCTTATCCGCCGCTTTGCTCAGGAAGCGGCTAAGGGCGGCCAGTCGACCAGTCAATCGTTGCTGGTCTTTGATGGAGCTGGGAGGTTGCATGTCGACAATGGCCTGCACCTTCTCCGGGTTAGGCTCAATACCTCGCTTGGTGACCATATAGCCCAAGAACTTTCCACCTTGCATGGCGAAAGCACACTTTTTGGGATTCAACCGGAGATTATATCTCATCATTACTTTAAAACAGTCGGCCAGATCTTCCGCGTATTTGTCCTCCTCTGGGCTCTTGACGAGCATGTCGTCGACGTACGCGGCCATTGATTTTCCCAATAAGTGCTGGAATAGTCGAGCTACCATTCGCGTATATGTAGCCCCGACATTCTTAAGCCGAAAGGGCATGACTCGGTAGCAGTAGACTCCGTCCGGTGTTAGGAACGCGATTTTTTTTTTCGTCTGCCGAGTGCATAAAGATCTGATGGTACCCCCTGCAGGCGTCCATGAAGCTCAACAAGGCTGACCCGGTGGTCTCATCAACCAATTGGTCAATCCGCGGTAATGGAAACGGGTCCTTAGGGCAGGCCTTATTAAGGTCGGTATAATCGACGCACATTCGCCACGCCGGGGGCTTCGGTACAAGAACCACATTCGCCAACTACTCCGGGTATTTAACCTCTCGGACATGTCCGGCTGCTAACAGCGTGCTTATCTCCTTTTTTACGAATTCTCTCCGATCATTGGCCAGGTACCGCTTCTTTTGTACGACTGGTCGACGCCCGGGATCTACGGCGAGTCGGTGCGATATAATGGATCGATCAGGCCAATCGTAAGCCGTGCACCAGGGCGCAGATAGCAATGTGCATCCTGCGCCTCCCAAAATGACGTCGTTTTGTTAAGTTGTGTGAGGAATTAACGCCACGAAAATGTATGTGTATTCAGTTATAAAATTATGTGTTTTCAGGTATAAAATTCTGTGTTTTTAGCTATAAAATTCTGTACATTCGAAATAGGGGATTTTTATCCTTTTAAAAAAGATTCTGTGTTTTCTTTTATATAAATTTGTACATTCGAAACATGGGAATTTTCGGTTATAAAATTTTGTGTTTTTAGTTATAAAATTCTGTGTTTCAGGTATAAAATTATGTGTTTTCTTTTATATAATTCTTTACATTCGAAACATGGGGATTTTCAGTTATAAAAATTCAGTGTTTTCAGGTATAAAATTCAGTGTTTTCAGGTATAAAATTATGTGTTTTCTATTATACAATTATATACATTCGAAAAATGATTTTTTTAAGGAGTTAACAGTAGACACGCGAAAAGAAAATAAAACGACCTCGTTTTGGGCTAGGGCGCATAATGCATTGTGCGCCCTGGTGCACGGTATAATTTTCCATTTAAAGCCTACGTTTAAAAAAAAATTAAAAATATGTCCAAGTACCTAACACAAATATACACTAATACAAATATACAATTATACAAAGCTAATACATAAGAAGTATATCACTAAAAATCTATGATTATTAGTCATATGATAATCAGTCAATAACTACATAACTGATATGCCTTGAATTAGCCCATAATTATGCTTCGTTTGTACTAATTTTTGAGCGAATGCTAGGTGATTGTGCAAGAAGGAAACGTATTTCAGGTGTTTATGGCTTGAGGAAAGGAAATATAGATTGGGGCATACATGAACTTAAAATGAAGACAAATCAAGATGATATTAAGGCCAAGTGGTTCAAAGATGGAAGGACAAAATCATAGCAAGGATTAACAGAGCATCGATGCGAAAGAGAAGCAAAACGTGACACTATTGTTCTACACTTCTGTTCTGCTCGTCACGGTGGAGGTCATGGTGTGACCCCAATCGTGACGAGCATACATCATTTCTGAAGTTGGGGTGTCACGCTGGCAGTCACGCCATGACAGCCAGCGTGACCCCAACCTTCCGCAGGTATTAGTGTTGGTCATTGGTTAAGGTCACACCGTGACCAGCAGAGACCTGCGAGGCTTAGGCCTGGTCACGATGAGGGTCACGCCGTGACCTTCATCGTAACCAGGCATTCTGGAAGCGGTTTATTTGGCGCAATTGCAATAGTATAAATATGAATAGGCGTTATTTTTAAGTTATCAGGTAGTTTTCTAAGTCTTCTTTTTAGGTTCTCTCCACAAATCCATTCTAGAACGTCTATTCATTGTAAATCCATCAAGTCTTGGAAGATTTAGTTATGAATTATCACTTGTAACTACAACTTCTACTTCAATTTTAGATTTACCTTTTACAAATTGAATCAAGTAAGGTTTTAATTCTTATTCTCCTATTTTATAAACTACTTCTGTACTTGAATTCAGTGCATATTATTTCAATTGCTTTTACTTTTTCGATTTCACTATATTGAATTGCTTTGTATGAATGCCAACATGAATTGAATTGCCAAATCTAGGTTTTGCTATGCCTCTAGAATGAATGTGATTGTGCATTTGGAGAATTGTATGGACTCTTGTTTGGTTAGGGCCCTATCACCTATCACATTTCTAACTTACTCTTGAGAAATGGGAGTTGGAAGGAAATGAGCACACAAGATGTTTAATTAATTGTCTCACCTAGTCTAATTGCTATGAGAATGAGATTAGAACCTTGGTGAGAGTCTAATGTCCACGAGAGTGGCAATGACATTGACTTAACTTCCTTGCATTCATTGTTGAACATTGTTTAGTCTAGAATATTAGAACATTAAGAAACATTCGTACATTGCTATTTGATCTAATTTAAGTCCTCTCTTTTATCCTTGTCTATTACTTAATCATTTATTTGTTTTATAATTGTCTCTATACAAACAATCGTTTCCTTTTGGTTAGTTTTCAAACACTCAATGATCTCGTGTTTAATCCATCTCTACTCAATTCCCTTATAGTCATTCCTAGAGGACAACACTCACTAAAACATCACCACTAAAACCAACTTTCAATAACCAAGCTCATAATACAAAATCGAACAACACAAGTTTAATAACTACAAGTCCACAATACAATTATATATAATTTCAACACAAGTTTAAAACATATTATAAAACCGAAAGTCCACAATACAAAAATCCAAAAGTTTAATCCAATGTCTTGAAAACTCATTAATAGCAACCACAATATAAACATAATAATATCATAAAAATATAATAATATAAAATGAAATAAGTTACAGCTCCAACTCAGGCTCCAGCTTAATCTCCAACTTAGGTTCCAGCTTTATCTCCTCTTTAGGCTCCAGCTTAATCTCATCTTTCAGAATCCTCCTACACAATGAAAAAAATAAAGTTCGAGTTCTCATAAATCATAACATTTTTGTTAACTTGTTCAGAAATAGATTCAATTGCATGGTTAGTTGTTATCCTATCTAATCTCATATATATTTAACGATCAATAGCAAAACATAAACAAAATAATCTTATACATATTTAACTATCAACATTTAACAATCAATAGCAAAACGTAAACAAAGTAACATCTACCGACTACTCTAGATATTAATATAATATTTGGGAGAAGAAGATATTAAGATAATATAACAAATTAACATTTTTAACAGTAGACAGTTTAAACATACACAGTATCAAAAATTCAGACTATCAATGTATACTGTATACCACTAACCTGTTGTCACCGCTCGTGGGATGTTGGAGTCGTCGCGGTCGGCTGCATTGCTGCATCCTGCGGCTTGCGCGTCTGCGTGGATAGAACATCAGAATAGGCGAATAGATAATATAACAAATTAACATTTTTAACAGTAGACAGTTTAAACATACACAGTATCAGAAATTCAGACTATCCGTGTATACTGTATACCACTAACCTGTTGTCACCGCTCGTGCTGTCACCGCTCGTGGGATGTTGGAGTCGTCGCGGTCGGCTGCATTGCTGCGTCCTGCGGCTTGCGCGTCTGCGTGGATAGAACATCAGAATAGGCGAATAGGAAATTAGAGTAGGAAATTAGAGGTTACAATTTGGAATTTTAGAGGGCTCAAAAGTTTTGAAATAATACCTTGATAGTCTTATATGAGTATCACCTGAACACCGGAAACAATGCGCCAGGTCTTGTTGATAGCATGCATTAGTTGATTGTAGAAAGATGTTTGGTACATTGGCAAAAAAGTTATTCAAAAAAGCTACTTTGAGTAGCTTTATTATAAATTTTAGCCTTTTGGAACAATAATTAAACTGTTACAAAACACTAATTAATCAAACATTTAATTATATCGATTGTTTAATCAAGCCAAACAGTTAATAGTGGTCAAATAAGTCAAAATTGGCTAATAGACTAAGGACCTGTATGTTAAAATGGCTGTTAGCTGATAGCTGTTAACTGTGAACTGATTGTGTTAATTAGAAGGTATAAATAGTTGATAACATTAGCTAATTGACAATAGGCCATTTTTTTTTACCAAACATGGCCTAAGTATTTTACCAATATGCCATGTTTATACTGAAGATATATGCATTCGTTGCATATAACTATTGAAGAATTACTGAGTAGTACCTGTTATAGGAGGAAAAGCCCAGTTGAGGGGTTTCTCATCTACATAGAGTCCAGGAGGAATATTCGGGATGTTTGTTGTGTCCATTCTGTGAAGTGAGATTCCAAAAGAGAGATGTCAAAACTTTTATTTGATAAAAGAGTGACAAGCAAGATTGATATTGTATATATGTTGTGTTATGTGAAAAATTATAAAGTATCAATTAACATCAATGTCAATTACATAGAGTATCATTATAAATTACTATCGATAATATATAATGATATCATGTATGACCGGTACTGTTATTAATTGGTCGGTATTGTATCTTTTTTCCATGATCCTAGTCCCCCTTACATGAATTTTCTGGCCCCGCCACGGTTTATACGAGCATAACAGAAAGTAGGTATAATTGTATATATACAATATATAAATAAACAGCAGCATTTTGAAACAATACCTAAATGATCCTTTGCAAATTGAGCATACAAATATAAACCAATAAGCATACAAATATTAAATATACAGTATAAACAGTATAAATATGTATAAAATAGTATAAAAATACCTGTCGCTGGTTCACGTTAGATCGTGATCTGAGAGTAGAGGCGGAGGCCGAAAGGCGAGAGATCGTGAAATAAGGGTCAAATAAAACTCCGTAGATTACTTTTCTTTCCAACTGCTCAGTAATAGATTGTTTATATATATTGAGATAAGGGTCAAATAAAACTTTGTAAAATTGTAGAGGTGGCCAAAGTCCAAGCCTTGGCCAGTGCCGTGTCGGGCCTGGGCCTAGACTAGTACGGTCTGGGATCAGTCCTGAATTATTTAGGCCAGTCTCGTGCCAAGCTTACCTCGAGCCTGGGCCCGTGCCTCTCGTGTGTCGATTATACTTAAAAAAAATATTTGACCCACTTATATTTAATTGAGGGCACTTCAACTTTTTAATTCAATAATGCTAATATATATATATATATATATATATATATATATATATATATATATATATATATATATATACACATTAAGATTCATATATATCATCATTAATATTTTAGATGAATCAAAACTCACATATTTGTAATTATGCTAGCGCAGGGGTGAACCATAACCGTCACTGTAATAACCGTAACGAAAGAACCGTCCGTACGGTTCCGGTAAGGTTTGTAAAATTTCGGAACCAGACGGTTCCGGTTCCAAACTGTGAATTAAAACAAAAAAAAAAAAAAAAAAAAAAAAAAAAACAAGTAGCCAGAGCTAAAGAGATTCAAACTTCAATTCTTGTTAAAGAATTGAAGTTTGAATATTTCAAAAAGGAATTATAAATTTGTTATAAATAAATAATAATAATAATAATGATAGCATCGAGCTAATGTCTAAAGGATAAGTATTTAACTATTTATAGAGTTGGAAATAAGATTATAAATAATACTTTTACAAGATAAGCATTACTAAGCAAGTTAGATAGATTGGCTTGTCATTTTTACATAGCTTCCAACACTACTTGAGGACAGATGTTTGATCATCACCTTCATGAATTATCCAATTTCTTTGAAATGAGTTAAATCATTGTATTGAACATTAATGGGCTATTTTGGTTCACGGAATAAGCCTGGAATGACGTAGCATTCCAGTAATAGGCTTATTCCTCTATTTGGTAACCACTTGTATTCCCAGGAACATTGTTCCCGGGAATGACCTATTCCCCTTGCAAAGGGAATAGTGATTCCTGGGGGCCCCCTGGTATTAGGCTATTCCTGAGTTCTCGGAAATAGCCTAAAGTTTCTATTTCCTAATTTATCCCCCAATTAAATTTATTTCCTATTTCACCACCATCGCCACCGCCGTCGTCGCCACCACCAATACCACTACCATAGCACCGTCATCGTCGTCGTCGCCGCCGCCACCAGCACCACCACCCTAGCTGCACCACCGCTACCGCCCACCACCAACACAACCGCCGTTGCCGCCGCCACCATCACCCCACCACCGCTGCCGCCACCACCACCACCGCCGTCGCCGCCACCACCACCATCGCCACCACCGCCGTCGCCGCCACCACCACCACCACCACCGCTCTCTTTGGTGGCCTGCGTGCCATTTTTTGGGCCTGCGTGCCTCCTTTGCACTCTTGGAGGTTTTGGCCAACCAATAGATTTAGTTTGACGAGACGTGGGCGTGAAGCGTTGCGGCCGTGTTGGCACTATTGCATCGTTGCATTGTGGTGCAAAGTCGCGGTATTGCAACTTTGTGGTGGTGCGGCATGGTGGCGCACTAGTACATGGTGGCATGTAGGTGCAACTATTCTCCTGGAAATAGCTGGTATGCTGCTGGTTTTTGCGAAAATTGGTGCGACGCCGATAGGGGATTCTACGCCTCCATTTCAGCACCCCTATTATTTATTTATTTTTTTTCATTTATTATTCCTTTGATCTGGCTTATTAGTTGGGCTTGGATCCATTATTTTATTCTTTGATTCTTTATGTCTGGCCTGTTAGGGCTTAAGTCCATCCTTTATTTTAGTGTTTTTTTTTATTTATTTTTTATTTTTTTAGTATAAACCCAATTTCTAGGGCTGAGTATGTGTTATGGTCATATTTGGACCATCACTTGTAAGACATTTTAATTCATTTGCTTAATAAAGTTTTGTTTTTTAAAAAAAATAAAAAAAAAATATAGAGTTCAATATTATTTTAATTTATATCACAAGGAAAAAATAGAAACAAAACATTATATTTGTTCACAAAAGATGAATCCCCAACGCCAATGTCTCCCACGTCCCGACACTATTTGGGAGAATGAAAATCATGGTATGCTTACTATGCACAAAAAAGGTGTCCCCTTCACTTTGAGAATTTTCTCCTACACTGTCGCTTGTGAGACTCGATTCCGAATCATTATTCTTAAATTTGATTCTAGTGACCAATTGAGCTACCCATGCGCGTACCGTTGCAATTATCTTGCAGTGGTCATTGGTAACTCCATATGATGTTTTAAGCTATCATATTCACTTGTTGTTATACTAAAAGTGGCATCAATATATCCAGAGGGGATTGGCAGTGGCTCAGTAAATAGAGCATGTGATTTTATGGAAGTGTCTGAATTATTATTAACCCATGAATGTTTTGCTGCTCTCCTCAATCCACTTAGCTCCACTGCAACTTCCTTCATAGTTGGCCTTTCCTCCCCCTTCACATTTAAACACCTTCTTGCAAGTAAGGCAACCTCTTGTAACTCTTCAGTGTTTCCCTCACAAACAATGTTGTCATCAAGAATCTTGAACAATTGATTGATTTTCAATGATGAAATGAAATGCTCATATAGACTCCTCTCTTCCACCGGACCATCGTAAAGTACTGCCCTCCTACCGGTTAACAATTCCATCAGGACAACTCCAAAACTATAAACATCACTCTTTTCTGTTAATTCGTGGGTCTGCATGTATTCTGGATCGAGATAACCAAATGTTCCTTGCACCATAGTTATCAATTGAGTTTGGTCTTGTAGAACTAACCTCGATGCTCCGAAATCAGATACTTTGGCAATGTACTCATTATCCAGGAGAATATTTGCGGGTTTAACATCTCTGTGGATTATAGGAGGAAAAGCTGCAGAATGCAAATAAGATAGCACCTCAGCTGTTTCAGTAGCTATTCTTAAGCGGATCGGCCAAACTAATGTGGATGCCTTGTCTTTGTCATTTAGATGGTCAGATAATGTTCCATTGTTTATGAATTCATAAACGAGTAACGGAACTTCTGTTTCTAAACAACAACCAAAGAGTTTGACTATGTTTCTGTGATTGATTTGGGAAAGCACAATAACCTCATTGATGAACTGCTCGACTCGGGTTGGGTCCAACATTTTGGGTTTCTTAACGGCTATGGTTCGACCATCATGAAGGTGTCCTTTATAAACAACCCCAAAACCTCCTTGACCAATGATTCTAGTTTGGTCATAGTTGTTGGTCGCTTTTCTAAGCTCCTGGATAGTGAAAATTCTTGTTGTGCCGGAAGACGTAGTGCCTTGAGCAATCTTTTGCTTCAAAATCAATCCTCCATTTTCTCTAAAGAATTTCTCTCTGATGTGTGTTGATTTCCTCCTTCGATATCCCAAGTATAGACAAAACCCACTTATCAACAGCACAGTGCACAAAGCAATACCTGCATGCCATGCATATATGCAGTAATGACAATGACAAAATAATGGAAACCAACCCTAAATAGCTACCAAAAATGAAAGCAAAGGATAATAGAAATGAGCCCGTACGAAGCAGTATTTAGGAGAAGAATGAAATGATAAGAGAAACGAGCTAAAGGGCATTGGTTTACCAATAACATGTTCAATAATCATCCGTTTAGAAGAAGAAGTGCACCCTTTCCCATTATTTTTGCAATCATCCATAGGTAATTGGCAGCCCGATTCCCCCTTCCCATTGCCATGGTAACCTTCCTTGCAATGGCACTCATAACTACCTTCAATGTTTGAGCAAATAGAGTTTATGGAGCAGTTGTTCTGTCCATTTACACATTCATCAATATCTGCAAAAGCCAATTAAAATGATTAGAAAATCACTAACTTCTGTTGGGCGACGACTCGTAGAGCCGAGTTTTGCACTTTCTCATCGAAACGTAGCGCTGACTATTACACAAGTATAAGAAAAATAAAATTGCACATTCGCAGCAAGCTATAACTTTATTTTAGCATAACGGTAAGCGCTTGATATTGATAATTGGTATTACTGTATTAGAGCAAGTCACAGGAATCCCATTGAAAGCATGCTATGCAGTTGAAGCTGATAGGTGGTGAGAGAAGATAGTTGGGCAGCAGAGCCCAACATCTTACCATCAGGGCATCAGGAAACGTGGAACTAAATTAAGTTGCACCTTTGTTACTAATTACTCCGTATAATTTTTGACGTAACATTAAGTGCTTAATTATGTCAAATTCCAATCAATTTTTCTGATCACCTTAAAAGTGAATAGAGATTTAAGATATTACCCGTACGAGCTTAACTCAATGGTTTAGTGGGCAGTATTTGGGACAAGAGACCAAGGTTCGAACTTCGACGGCGGCAGTGTCGGAATTATGTCCAAAGTGGTCAGATTCCTTGTGCGCAACGACATTTGGCACTGTCTACTAAACTATTGAATCACCGTAATTTACATCCTCCTACATGTTCTGTCTGGTTGAGGATTTAACATTTGGGACAAGAGATTTAAGATATTTATCAACTCCCACCTATCAAAGGTGGTTGGTAACTTGGAACTTTTGACCGACTTGGAAGGGTGGTCAACTTTAGTAAAAATCGTAATTTTTGTCCACTTTGTTTGTAAAATTTTGTCCGTCAATCTGAAATTTTAATTTTTAATTTGTAAAATAATTTACTTATACTTTGTATAAAAGAAGAAGAGAATTTAAAATAGAAATGGAGACAAGAAGAGAAGAAAGTGAGAGGAGGAGAAAGCTAAGGTAAAGAATTTTATTTTATTTATTTACAAAATTGTTTGGGTGAGAGCTGCATAAATTGTTATGTAGGATTAAAGATAGATTTTTATGATACAAATAATCTGCATAGGCAAATTAAGTATTAGAACACTCAAAAGAAAATGTAATTTTCTAATTTTTTTTAAAAAAAAAAACTTGTAAAGATCAAAATACAACTTATAATAAGGTCAGTTGGAAGAGCTAAACGAAGTAGCTAGATGTGAAGAACGAAAGATCAAGAATACAGTTAACTAGGGGTGAAAACTTAAAGCAGTAAGATAAATTAATTTAGATTGCTTATAACTGACAATATCAAACTAAGAAGGTTAATATATAGCTCTAATTGTTTGATTAACTTAATTAGGTGTTGACCCAATTTAAACCTACTTATCAACCAAAAGGTTGGTCGAAAAGATACCCTGATCAAGTTGGGGGACATATGCAAGTGGTTGTGGGACAACGGGGATTAATGTATGTACTCTAATAATTATTATTGTTACATTATTTTTTCATGGTACATATAACATTTATTGCTACATCGTGCATGTATGACTTGTTAAGTCTCCGCCAAGTACCACAAGGCATTGGATAGACAAATTGCATACAATTGAGTCAATTCTGCCCCAATTGAGGGGCGAACTCGTGACCTTTCATATGAAAAAGTCTTTTTGCACCACTAGATCAGAAAGTTATTGGCCACAAATTTTTAAGAAAAGAAATTGTGTTTTTACTCCTTACAAAAATAATTATTCCATTTATCTCATTTTATTTACCCTACTAACTTTTTTTTTTTTTTGAAAGTTACTGGCTCTATTACATTGTAGTATCTGTTCATATACTTTCTCAACCTACTGAAACACAAAGAACCAATAACGCCTCCACTGAGGCTCGAACTAACCCTACTAACTTAATATTTTGAAAAATTGAATTAAAAATAATTTTAAATAACATCAGTCAAGTCTCGTTAACCAAACCATACATAGAAAATAATAAATTCAAATAACATCAGTCAAGCCTCGTTAACCGAACCATACACATAAAATGGAATACTTACTAACTTAATATTTTGAAAAATTAAATTAAAAATAACTTCAGTCAAGCCTTGTTAACCGAACCATACACATAAAACAATAAATTCAAATAACTTCAGTCAAATCTCATAAACCGAACCATACATATAAAATGGAACGATTTTTTTAATACTACTGACTCCCTATTGAAGCACACCAATTTTTCCACTTGACTGTAAACCTGTAACCTCTCGACCACAAAGTCTCCGGCAATAGGGTAGTGACTTAACAATTTTGATTTAAATATTTGAAACAGACACTATTGATGTTATTTGAATTGTATATAATATATATATAACTACCTCATGTCTTCATATTAATACTTATTTCAATTGCTCATTTTAGAAAAATCTATCCGATCTGAAATAATGAGAGAAAAGAATTGTGGTAATAGTTTCGTAATTTTCTACGACTTTAAAGTGTACTATGTGGTGTTACTAAGAGGGCGTTTGGTTCACTTTAATTTCGTTGTAGTTAAATTTCAATTCAATGAATGTCTCAATTATATTGTTTGGTTGGAGGGAATTGCAATTCTACAGAATTGCAACTCCCTCCTTTTGTTGAATTGCAATTCATGGGATACTCCGGCCCCATGAATTGCAATTTAATGAATTTGAGAAAGGAAAAACAAATGAAATGACACTACTACCCTTAGTTGTTATTACTAGTATTATTATACAAGGGTATTTTAGTCTTTATACAACTTCTTTGCTTCCCAACTACAAAATTCTATTTCTCCCTACCAAACAATGTAATTTGAATTCCTATTTTATTCATACTTTATTCTTTTCCCATTGAATTACAATCCTTTTCCCCCCTAATTCCTTCCTTCCAACCAAACACCTCGTAAATACACTTTCACATGAATGTTAAAAGTGCACTTAGCAACACTACATAGTGCATATTTTTTACACAAACATTAAAATGCACTTTGTAACATTACATGATGCACTTTGCAAAGTTACAGAGTTCACTTTCACATCATAACACTGTGCGGGCATGCATTTGGTTTACAGAATATGGGAGTGTTGAGTAGTGCAGAGTGAACTGTATAGTCTTACAAAGTGCATTTTAAAGTTTGAGTTATTTATCAAAATGTGATCCCGTAGTTTTTCTTTTTGCTCTCGAACCAGTATATATATCTAACTAGATGGACATCTAACCTTCGTTCGTAGTTTTTCTTTTGGGAACAAGTTCTCATAGATATTATTCCCTCAAGTATATATGTTGCACAAAAAAATATTAAAGATTAGTGTTTTCACTTTTCAAAAACGCTTCCCACAAATTCACGATAATTTCACAAAACATAAGTGCAGATCAGACAATCAACACATATAATGACATAAATGGTGCCATATATGCATACCTTGGCAACCTGGAGAGAGATAAGGATTGCCTTCATAACCCTCCTTACAACCGCAACGATACCCCTCCTTACTGTTGGCGGTAACATTGATGGAAACACATATGGTATTACCTGTAGGGAACGAATAAGTAGATAAATTGAATTTATTTATATAAAATATAACTGAATTTAAATTTTATAGAAAATAATTCCAACAAGCAAAAGAAAGAAGACAGGAAAAATCCTGTCTAAAATCAGCATCCCAAATCTACCCAACTCAAAGGCTTTGGAAAGTTAGATTATATTCTGGCATTCATGTATGTGAACCCACCTAAAAGGGAATTGTATACATACTATATTGAGACTTTGGCCATCATTGATAAAATAATTAGCTTATAAGTCAATTTTGATTTATTTGACCACTATTAGCTATTTGACTTGGTTAAACAATCAATATGAATGTTTGATTAATTAGCTTTTTGTAACAATTAATTGTTCCAGAATGTTAAAATTCAAAAAGCTACTCATCAAAGTAGCTTTTTTTAGAAAGTATTTTGTATGTAATCAGCGAACAGCTAACAACTAATTTACCAAATACTTTTTCTACAATCAATTAATATTATCAACTAATCAAACTCACTAACACAATCAGCTAACAATCATTTACCAAACACTTTTGCTCAATTTTAGTTTGGCATATTCTTTTGGCTTGCTTAATTTGTGTATAGGTGGTTGTGACTGGATTCTTTTCCTTCTGGTTGTGTACTCTATTTATTTTGCTTTCTTGCTATGAATAAATGTCTAGATTACAACTTCTACATGATATTAGAGCTAATTCTCTAGCAAAATTATTTTTTCCAGGTCCTGTTTATCCTCTCAATTCCCACTACACCTCAAACAACTATTCTACAACTCTATGCCCCAACCCGCTCCCTGTTTAAACTTATCTCGTCCAATTTGAAAAAAGCAAGTTGAGTCCACACTCGTTGGACTTGACCTTGTGGTTTACGTTAATAACATTGTCGTTGCTTCGGCAAAATATTCCGATGACGCACAAAGAGTCGCAAGTCCATCTACTATACACAACTTGGTGCAAACCCATTTCCAATTCTAATTTGGAACGAGGCTACTTTCAAGCCTTTCCATATCTATTTTCGGTCACTGATTCTCGTACAATATATTAATTTTTTCATCTCACTTTGAAGAACCAATCTACTTTGACTCAACCCAAATTAAAAATGAATGCACATATATTTGTACCACCCAAAATAACCACCTAAAATATCATGCTAAAAATTCCCAATTATTACCTTGACATGTGCCATTGCACGTCTGATCCGGGATGATCCAGTCAAGAACCACCGGTAGCTTATTCACATCCCATTTTCGGGCAAGCATTGTGGCGGAAAAGTTGAACTCCTCTTTCTGCACCACGAAGGCGTAGATGCAGTGACTATCGGGATAGGAATCCGTGGTGGTGTTCAGTAAAACGCGAGCGTCCCTCGCCACATTACTAATTCCGATTTCGCAACACCCAACTCCGCCGCATGTCCCGTTCTTGACATCTTTCATTCTGCCGCCACAGGAGGTAATACAACTTTCTACTTTGTTTGACCCAACATCGTCCATCTCCTCGTAATCGTCGTCGTCGTCGAGATAGTTTTCTGTTACAACAGCGAAAGCATTGCAGCCGACAGCAACGAATTTGTTGGCGGTCTGGTTGACGTAGAAATTGGCCGGAGTGGGCTCTGATTTAAGCTCGAAAACTGGTATATCCGTCATCCGGGTATAACACTTTCGAGCTATGCCCTTCTTCACATTCAACTGCCCTTCAAGTGATATATCCCTAACCTCCACGGCGCTATTTGTTATAAATGGCTTTGGAGGATGATAGGAGGTGTTACAAGTGATGGAGAAGTTTGAGTTTAGAGCACATTCTTCTCCTAAACCAAAGGGAAATGGGATCATTACGTTCCCGCAATGATCACTGCAGTTGGGTTTGGCTATGGAGGAAGAAGAATTGTTAGTGTTTGATGTGGCGGCGGCGGTAGGAGAAAAAGAACCTAGTACTACTGCCGACGACAACACAAGTAGTAGTAGTACAAGGAAGCAGCTCATGTTGTTGGACGGACTATACAGTTAACAAATTATGCTTGGTTTGTGTTGGATATGCAAGTAACTTCGTTTCCACCTACTATATATAAGGAAACACTAATGTGACATGGGGCCAATGATTAGTGTGTAAATGAGAGGCTAGAGAGACAATATTGTGTAGATTTGTGAGAATGGGGAAAAATGTGTAAAGTATTGTCATTACCTTCTTTAAAGTAGGGATTTTCACAAACAATCTAATTCAATTACTTTTTTATTACACCAAAACCCCCACTTCATATTTATTACTTCAACACCAATAACATTATTTATTGTACGTCCAGAGTCAATAGTACTAATAAAGTCTCAGATGGCACCGGGCTCTCCTGGACTCTTTATGTTGCAATAATTAAAAAGTATAGAATAGATACTACCTTCTAATAGAGTCTAATACTTAAAAAAATATTATTTATTGTCCAACCCCTAACTACTTCTCTCTCCTTTTTTTTTTTTTCTTCAGATTTTCTACTTCATTCTTCATACATCCTCTCACCATTCTTTATAAATTCTCTCATCTTTTTTCACCTTTTACCATCAATAATATTGTTTTTCCAATATCTAGTTCCAACCTCGTAATATATTTTCCTTTCCCAAATAATTGAAGCTTCAGCAAGAATCGATAATGAATTGAAAAATTCAAGATGGGCGACAACCGGTGAATGACGGCAGAAATTGGTGTAGTTGTTTTTCGGTGAACCTATGAAAAAATAGTAATATTATTGTAGTTTTGTCATCACCAAAATAATTAATTTAATTTTGTCAATGTATTATTAATTATTTAATTAGTATTTGTTTTAATGCATTTAATTAGTATTTAGTTTTTAGTTAAAATAAAATACCGTAAAGGGAATTATAACACACATGGAAAGTAAGCATGCAATAATTGCATAACATGAACGTGAAATCCAAAAAAAAAAAAAACATAATACAAATACAAATAATATATATTTTTCTATATTGATTAGAATGTTAATTATTATTATTATTATTATTATTATTATTATTATTATTATTATTATTATTATTATTATTATTATTATGGTAATTATTCTTAAAGTCGGTAATGGTATTATTATTATTGTTGTTGTTGCAACATGTTCATCGTCGTTGGTGTCTTCGTCATCTACGAAGTAACGTGATGACACAGTTCCAAAACAAGAGACTGAAGTCGTTGGTTTGGGAGACATGTAGTTCTATGAAACAAAGAGACTTCGACTTGGCAATAAAGACTATACAAGAGATGTTTCCAAATGCATATCATGCTTGGCAGAAATCTCATGGAAATACTTGGCATTGCCTCATGACAGTGGACACATGTTTGGCATTTTGACAATCAATAGTTCTGAATCTTTAATTTCCAAATGCATATCATGCGGGGTTGTCGAATGTTCCCTATCACTATTGTCTCCCGATTGACTTTCCACAAATTTGTATGTTCCACAAATTAATGCAACAAGCTGGATTGCATTAGCCAATTCAACTAATGTTGATAAGGAGATGTTCGCTCGGGAATGATACAAGTATAATGCAATCATTCGCTTATATAACAACCAAAGAGGGATATATGAGGTAGCACTTGAATCAACTTCTAGTTCTCTGGGTCAGACACGCTATGTTAAGGTAAATTTGACTGACCTGACATGTACCTGCAATTGTTGTGTTGTAGATGGCTTACCTTGCGCGCATGTCATTGCCGGATGCCATTATAGAGGGATTGTCCCTGATTCCTTTGTGCCACAAGTCTTCTCGTTAGAGTATTACATAATGAGTTATGCAAGAGACTTGAATCCATTCTCGATTGACGAAGTTCAGCTGACTGTAACGCTCACGTGCCTACCACCCTCATGTGCCACCCGGAAAGCTCATCGAGGTTAACAACGTAGAAGTTGATTTCCTAATGAAATGGACTTTGGTAGTCACCGTCGTTGATGACGATATGTCCTCTATATAATCCATTGCTCCTTTGTTAGTACGAGGAAGCTCATATTGTTTTGGAATGATAACAAATGATTGGGTTTGTGTTGGAGGTGTGTAGCTTCGTTTCTGGCTACTATATCTAAATCTAAATACAAAATAAGTGTGAATGATGGTTATACCCTTTATATATGTCCGATTTTTTATTACATTTTTTTTATACATTATGCTATAAAAGTTGTACTATACAATATTTTGGACAAACATACCCCTACCATTATAACTTCAGTTATCTTTTCCACTATTGTTACCATGCACATGCATCCATCGATCATATATTTTCTTATCTTCTTGAATAATAATAATAATTTATACACATTATATATTATTTGAGTTATATATTAGTTAATTTCTAAATTATAAATATTAAATTTATTAAAATGTTTTAGATTATTATTATTATTCACAATAATTTAAATATCTAAAATCTAAATAAATCTATATATGTAAGAATGGGCTACCCTCATATTATGGGAATAATAATATAATTAAAGAAGTAAATGAAATTCAAATTAGTCACTCAACTATACGCGAAAAGTCAGTGTGTAATATTTTGCATGTTGTTTGGTGTCTAATTTGAACATTTTTCATATAAAGAAAATGCCCATGCAAGGTTAGTTCGTTAGTCAGCTGGTTTGACTGATAACTATAATGTCTTACTTTAGCGACAATGTAGAGGTTCTTATGGCAGACTTTGACCGATCAAGGAGATTAAGACCACTTGTGCGCATTAGGGGTGGGCGTCGGTTCGGTTCGGGTGATACTCTAATTTTATTTCGGATATTTGAAAGTTTCGTGTGATGTTTTTGACACCCGATATACGAACCAAATTTAATTCAGATATGTTCGGTTCGGGTGAAATTATATCGGGTTAATTTGGATATACCCAAAATATTGTTTTATCAATTTTGAATATTTTTTTAATGATTTTATTATTTTATTATTTATATTTTTTTCCATATACTATCAAACTAAATAAAAATAAGACAAATACTAATAATTAACCAATAGAGCCAAGTACGTTGTACTTAGATGGAATGTAGGGTCATGAGATCAAGTCTCAGTGGAGGCGTTGTTGAACCTTTATGCTTCATTAGGTTGAGAAAGTATGTTTGAATAGATACTACAATCTAATGACTTTCAAAAAAAAAAAAAAGATACTACAATCTAATGGAGTTAGTAGCATTCAAAAACAAAACTAATAGACTTTTAAAAATTAATATATTATTAATTATGAAATACATTTAAAACTAAATATATAAATTATATTATTATATTTATAATAAAATTTCGGTTAGTTTGAGTTTCAGGTCGGGTGTGGATAAATTTTTAGCACCCAATATCTTAACCGAATTTATATTCGAATATACCAAAATTTAAAATATCCAAACCGATAACTATTTGGGTTCACCCAAAATTTAAAATTCAATTCCGGTTTCGGGTGTTAGTTCGGATAATCCGAATTACGCACACCCCTACTGCGCATAGTGTACACCCATAGACAGACATGATAACTTGCAATTTATCTTTTCTACCGACTCTTAGGTAGGAGGTCTCAGAATTTAGAATTAGTCTGGTAAAAGCTAGAAACATAATGTATAAAAAATAATAATATAAAGAAAAGACCAAGTCCAATGGGAATATATACATGCATGTATTGAGAGACTTTTCAATGACTCTTGTTGAAGGCTAATTGATTTCAACAACTAACATTTCATACACATTAGTTTTTCTTCATTTATGAGTGGCTTTTAAGATGCACAACTTGCAATGATAATATCTTTTATAACACGGCACAAGCATTAATGTGCCTTATTTGAAAATTCCTCTAATTCAGTTTGTTGGTTGCGATATTGCCCACGGGCCACGACTTACTTCGTTGACCATAGAAATGAGTCATTTGGAGTCAATATGGGATAAGTCACTCAAGCTAGACCTCTCTCTCCATAAAAGTTCCTAGTAGACAAAAGTGTAATTAACCAACACAATTCTGGACCCCAGGGCCGGCTCTGGGGCATGGGTAGGCTGGGCCCCTACCCAGGACTCATCTTTCAAGGGGCCCATAGACTATAAGATATATTAATATATTATATATTATATATATAACTAGCATTTTGTATACGTGATGCGTGGAAATTCATGGCTAATATTAAAACATTGATAAATATAAATAATTAAATTATAATTTGAATTATATATACACAAATAATATATGTATTTTATACACACACATATATGATTTACCATTCATAGAAATTTAATTAAAATATAATTAACAACTAAATTAATTATATAACAATTTTATAAAATGATAATTAAAGAGTAGGAAAAAGATATGATAGATATGATGAGAACTCAGAGATTCAAATTCAATTCACAATCCGATAGAATTACACGAGATTATATCTCAGTCTACTTCTAACTACTCCTATCTAATAGGATACAGACAGTAGACTTATTCTAACCATAGAAAACTAACATAGGTTATATAAATTAGGAATAAGGGTCAAATAGACCATTGAACTGCACACAATAATGCAATTAGGCCATTGAACCTGAAAAAACAACAATTAGGCCATTAAACTAACAAATTTCTTTCAATTAGTCTAATTTACAGGTTTTGCAGGTTAGTAACAGGTCACCCAAAAAATTTAAAATATTATTTAAAAATAATAAATTAAAATATATTTTAAAAAAAAACGTTTCTTCGTCTCCGGCCATGGAGATGAAGAAAGTTTCTTCCTTTTTTTTAAAAACTATTTTAATATACTTTAATTTATTATTTTTAAATAATAATTTTTTTAAAAACTATTTTAAATTTTTTTGGTGACCTGTTACTAACCTGTAAATTAGGCTAATTGAAAGAAATTGGTTAGTTTAGTGGCTTGATTGTTGTTTTTTTAGGTTCAGTGGCCTAATTGCATTATTGTGTGCAGTTCGATGGCCTATTTGACCCTTATTCCTATAAATTAAATACAATTAATAATAATAACATTCACACACCCCCTCAAGCACACGGTGTGAGAGACA